GGGGGGGGGGGGGGTGGATAAATAGTGTGGAAATTTTATGTCTCGTCTCGATAGGCCACCCTCTTCATCCCCACTACGTTTCCTGGTGGTCGTGTCATATCGCCTACGTAATTCAAGTCTTATCGAGCGGGCTTGCGTGACGTGAGCTTTTAAAGGATGGAGCGATAAAAAATTTCACAGGATCAAATCTGATCTTCAGTTTCCGCTGTGACGCATAAGAGCGTGGAGGGAAAAAAAAATGTTACGCGAATTTTGCAACCACAGCATTTTAATATTTCGTCGCGCATTTCGCGCTGTTACAGTTTCAACAACCCCACCTCCCTCGTATGCCTCATCCCTTTGAGCTGCGTTACGTGGACTTTCGGTAGCTCGTAATTCAGCCCCCCCCCCAGCCAGCACTTCATTGTGAACATTTCATTTTCCCACGGGTCATAAAACTGGCACTAGAGCTAAAGGCGCCTGGAGATTTCACCTCGCGTGCTTTAAGGGCGCTACTTCACCCCCTCGCAAATCAGTTTGCTTCCCTGGATACGAGCGGTCGAAAGTTGGATGTTGTTATATCATGAAATTTAATGGACTGCTTGCGACGGAGCTTACGTACAGTCGAATCGTCGCGGGCCGTGGGTACGGGAAATAATCGCTTTTCATTTTCAGACCTACTACGCTCCGCAACCCCTACGTCCTTAGGGAATGAAAAGACAAGGTCGCCTGAACGAAGATGTGTACAGAATCGTAGAATTCTTGCTGAGGCTTCTTTTGGCTTTAATTTTCAGCGATTGGGGGTACGTTTGAAAAGAGGTACGGTAGGTCCATTTAAAGCTTTCTGGGAATCCGTGTACTGGGGAGTGAGATTGTAGGGGTTAGCACGCTCAAAGTAGAAAAAGCTCCGTCAAAGGCATTATCCGAATTATTCGCCAAAGAGAGTCTGAATGGATCTATCGTGAAGTTGCTGGCCACTGAGGGCGTCAAATCTGTTTCGTCTTGCGGTTTCCCAATGTGGGGTATTTTAGGGGGCGGATTTGCCAGTGCTTTTTAAGAAATTACGTAGAACGCCTAACGTACCGAAGGTTTTAAGGAAAATTTTGTGGTCTGTATTAGAACAGCTGTGATTTTTTAGGTGCTGAGTAATAAAACATAAAAGATAAGAAGCGAATAGCAACGTATATGATGCGAGGCTAGTAAATTGGCTGAGGGTGAAAAGTGTACATATAGCATTCGAGAATAAATAACTAAGACACTTCTTTACTGTTGAAAATCATGCGAAAATTCAGCCCTCTAGTATTTTGCTTGAATTATGCATGCGCTTCTTCTTCAGATTTACGAGAAGCCTTGGTCATCAACCCTCTCGGTGTTACCTCAGTGAAGGGTGCTGTCGATACCTTGACAGGGTGTTAAAGTTGCGGACGAAGGTCTGGGAAAAGATTGATATCAGACTGGATGAACGCTATTAGTTTTTAATACAAAATGGGCTAAAGGTACAGACTACAGGATTCCATGGGTGAATTCCCTAAAACATGCAAAAGGTATTTGAAGGAATGAAAAAAAAAATATCAACTAATATAAATTAATGGTATGCCTCCCTAACCAGTCTCCATCTAGAGATTAGATAGAGATTTCTGTAATTTAGAAAAATTTATAATAAATTTTACGAAAAAGTTACGTTGAATTTTATTACGTTTTTTTTTTTAGTAATGCGGGACTATGTTCACATTGAAGTTGAATCTACTATTGAACGTTGAACGAAGTTAACGCAAAGTCTAAGAAAAATGAGTGTGTTCCGTAGTGAGACTTAACAGCTGGTATATCGTATTACATCACAAACACCAGTTAATGCGATGTAACGTGATATATTTTACTGAAAAGCATCGTTAGTTTTTATATAGAATCGGTAGGTTTGATCCAATAAAATATTTAAATCAATTAATGAGCATTCATGAGGAATTTCCTTGTAAGGTACTCCTGCCAAGATTACCCTTAGTGCAAAATCAAGGGACTGAGGTATTTGAGATGCGCGTGGCGCCATCTCTTCTATCAAAATATCATTAAGGACTCCTCAGGCCTGATAATATTGCGGTCTTGTCTGGGGGGTGGCCTATTTGTAGGAGGCTGCGAGAGCGCGTCAGTACGAGACGGTAAATTGTTCTGGAAACGTATGGAAATTGTATACACACCCTAAGTGAATATTAATCGCTTCGGCGAAGTGGTTGGCGATGAATTTCTGTAGCAGGCTTAGTTCTCAGTAATATTACCAGCCCCTAAAGCAGATCCCTGGAACCAGGAGCAGTGACAGTAAATAGGAATGTAGATTCACACGAAAGTGAGGTTAGAGACTCGCCCCCCAAGAGAAGAGGGACGCCACGGCGACGCCAGTTAATACAGTATAGAAACTTCCATAAGGAGTATCAAGTGTACATTGGTGAATGAGATTTTGAATGGCGTCATTCGGAACACGTTGCCTTTGAAGTTGGGGAGTATTTTCGTCACACAATATTCAACCGAATTATAATCGTAGGTACAAATTCTATTACGTCACACGATATCACATAACTTTGCCTTCAGCCTCCTGTTACGAATCGGCAAATGTCTAGAAGCACTATCCTCCATTTTTCCCTTGAGAAAGCTCGAGTCTCTTCAGGTAAACTGTATCATCTGCTTTTTCGTCCTTTTCTGCCTCGTTACCCGTCTGACTTGCTACTCTCCAGCCGTCACACGTAAACTGCATACAAGACGTGTATGCACAGTAGGCTTTTGCGTATCCATGGAGATTATTCTACGTGTTCGTATGGATTCCATTCTCTAAGCAGTACAGAGTATAAGTTGCTCTAAGCTACATAATTTATAACTAAGAAATGGCGATGGGTCGTTCTCGTGTTAACTTTAACTGCGAAAGGAAGAGACTGACGGGACGGAGATCGAAATTGAAATCTTGAAGAAAAACATTTTCCAGGTTCATGTCTACTACGAATTTGACTTGACATGGATTGTAGATCCGCATGTAAGCGGCGGTATCTCAACTGACGGTATTCGCTAGCTTCAGGCAAGTAGGAAAGGCTAAAGTAAAGAGTGCACTGTTTACTCGTCAAGTTGGCACCGTGCCTGCGCGGCATCTCGTTTCTTCGTCAAAGTGTGTAACGTTTTAGCCTCTGGAAACGTCTGCCTTCGGAATGCCAGGCTTTGGGGTACGTGCACTTGGGGCGCACTCCACACAGACTTTCTGGACATTTGGCACGTTCGTCATTCTAAAGGAAGGGCATCTTGGTGGATTTATTTCTCGTAGAGAATTTTTCCCATAGAGATATTCCGTTAGGAGGGACTTCCTGTATTGTCACTGAAGGTACCTCATGGTGGATTTACCTTTATGGCACACCGTCATCCAATCTTGGGTCCTATTTTATCCATGATCTGCAGAAAGCTCATGAAAAAGTTTTCCTATTAATTTTAATAATTAGCTCAGCGTCAGCAGGCAGTTTCGGTTGCGGAGTGCCTTAAGCGGCTTTGAGAGACCGGGAGAGGAAGAGAAAAGTCTCCCTGCGCATTCGAACACTTAAGAAAGTGACTTTTACAGTCACCAGAGGGACGAAGAAAGGAAGCGTACCACCTACTGAAATTCTCCGGCTAGAGGTTGCCGTTCCATTATTTATTTAACAAGGCTACAAACAGTCGCGCGCCACGACTAAAGTTTCTAATTAATTCTTGCAATTAATACTCCTTTACTGCTTGGAGTTTTAACCGAGTCTCTGGACGCCAAGACGAAACTTCCTTTCTAGGAGCAGCTCGCAGCTAATGTACTTTTACCGGGAGTACGAATTGGTCGATAAGTAATTATGAGATCCATCTCATTTCCTACCTCGTCTCCATACTCATTAAGCTGACTTCTCGATTAGCGACTTATCGGTAATTAATAGCCATTTCATCCAACTTACGAATTACTCCCACCAGCCCAGCTAATCACGGCAGATTATTCATACAAGTTCTAGATCTTAATAAGTTACAATCTAACTATGTCATGCAGGGTACATCTAAGTGATGGGCAGCCACAGTGTTTACGTAGTGACCTAGAAAGATATATCTCAATCCCATGAAAATCTTTTATTCTCAAGCAATGACTTAACACTGGTAATTTCCCACAGGAAATCTACGGTTAACCTTCAAATCCTTAAAGCGGCATTCATTCTTTGCCTTTATACTTCTTGTCTCTTTGGAGCCATCCGCGCTGCCCACGATGAACCGTATCAATTTGTCAGTCAACTTCTATATTTGTTCTTGCCAACGCCAGCGCGGATTCCACTTGGAGCTTCTCGTAGGATCCGAAATGGAGCAATGCCGGGAGGAGGGTAGGTGAGCGAGAGTAAAGTAGAAAAGGAGGAAGAAAAAAAGAAGACGTAGGAATGGGAGAAGAAAGAGGACGAAGAAGGATAGATGTAAAGCAGACTGCGAATCCTCAGGGTCGTACCAATTTAAGGAGACACTCACCGGCCATCGTCCTCACTCCCTTTGGCAAAAACTTCTTCAATGTTTTCACAAGAGCCGACTTAACAACGAGGGATCCCTGAGTCATGGAAGCAGAGACAAAGATGGCGGCGGCTCTGGATAGGGTAGCAAACGAGGGAGGAGATTCACGAAAGTGAAAGAGAAGAATTGACGGAAAAGGTTCGGAAAGCGAGTAAAGAAAATGTAAATACAGTATAGATCATTCGTATATCTTATTTGATGCTGAATACAAGATCCGACTATGATATATCCAATGGTACTAGTATTCTGTATGAAAATAACGTATATGTAGAAAATAATTGTTAAAATATAAAATTGTCAGCGAACGTGTTAATTGTTAATTATAGGATGTATCTTTCAGAACGGGACGTTACGGAGTAACGTTAGTTCAGGATCAGCAAACGGGTCGTTCAGGTGCTAAATCAAACAGTTCATTTTTATATTGTATTATCAGGAGCAGACTGTAACGGATTACCGACTGTGTTCCTAGGTAAATCCAGAAATGTCCATAATATGACGGGACGATTGAATTATTTACTCCCCACTGGTTACTTGTCGTGTAAATTAAGCCTCCAACCGCTTAACTCTTCGAATCCATCGAATAGTGATTTTTTTTGGATTTCTTTCTCTATAACGATCAAATATTCCATTTGCAATTACGCCAGAGAGCACATTCATATGTCGAATCTTGATCTTTCGAAGTCTTATATTTCCGTAGAAGCCCTTACAATTCATGGTGTATCGGGTCATACGAATTACACAGAAGTAAGCTCGAAATTATCTACAGATTTTAAAGGCAATTCGGATCCTACAAACTAGTCTAGTCAAGATAGTCTCATTAGATGCGTCGCAGTTGGATCTTATATGTATCACCAAATAAAATTTATGAATGATCTATACTGTATCTAATTTGTTTACGTTTCAAAGATTGAAAAGAAAAGAGGAGAAAAGTTTTGATCGAAGAGTAATCAAAGTGGTTAAGTTTGAAAAAGATCGAATTACTTGGAAAATAAGTTAAAGACTCAAAACTTCTCATTATTTATTAAAAACTGCTAGTTAGCTTCTTGTACAACTATATCGTTATTGTACAATAAATGAGGTTGTTCTTGAGATTTTAATAATTTTTCAAGATTCCTTGAAGATCAGCGAAAGACTGTTATGATAAACCGCAAGAGCTAACCTGAGTCAGGATGTGGGATTAGGTTGTGCCGGAAATTGTTAACTAAGTCATATAATTTCATAAATCCTTTAGAAATATCGGCTAAAACAATTCAGCGTATTTCCAATAGCGAAATCCACTATTGCTTCTTGAAAATCGACTTCGCGGTTTCCTCTTGCCTGACTTTCCCATTAAAACTGCCCTCTCTCCGCCGTTCTTCTAGGTTAGCTGGTTGCCTTCTACCATATCTCGGTATCGATATGGCTACGGCAACTCTTAATTGCGTCACATGATTTACCGCATCCTCCGAGAAAATGTACTTTAAACAAACATTAGAATGTTCCAGCTACGTGAAACGAATAAGGAAAACTTTATACTTTATAACAGGTAAAGAGCTTCAGACTTTTATAACGCCCGAACAATTCATTTTCCATATACGCATCTACCTACGTGTCCACCTGTATTAAGAGGATTCAAAATTTTCTAGGTCGTTTGTAACTGTTCATAGATGATAATGATAATAATGATTTAGAATATAAATAGCTTTTTTGCAAACAGCGAAGAATGGCGATAAAGAATTATGTTCAGCAATCATATATTACAGTGTGGGCGGGATGGCGCCATGCTGGCCTCGAGTAGTAGAAGATTGATAAAGCGGTTTCCAGAAAAGTACGGTCGTTAAAAGGCCATTTTGTCCGAAGAGACCCACTCCTCTAAGGAATCGCATTATTAGATATGACAAAAAATAAATTTAGAAACATATTTAGGTCAGCAAAAAAAAAAGATATACTTAAGTACATTTGAAAGAAATTTCACTTTTGACGTAAATGACGCTGTGACGTGGCATTTTAGGATGCATGGCAAAAGACGTGAAATTCTGCGTTTTTCCACTATATCCTGGGGCCCTATGCGTGGGGAAGGGACTCCGTGGTGTTAGACTGTGTATTATTTCCTTCGTGGAAACGTTTTCTTCTGTGTTTTGTCATTTTCAAGCGGATCCGAAAGGATTCTGTTAAAATTTCAATACTACCGGGCCCAAGAGTGCCAATTACGGTCCTGGAGAAGCGCGCTAGCGTGACGACGAGATAACCAGAACGGAGTATACACTCGGCCAATTACGCGGGACATTCGGCGAGCGTCTTTCCGATTCAGAGGGCACACGGAAGTCGCAGTGACGGCCTGGAGTCGTCTATCGAGGAAGTAGACGTGGATGAGATTCCCAACCTTCTGAAAATGGAATTACAGCCACCGCAAGAGCGAAGGATACCAGGATTTACTATATAGGGATCGCAGCAAACCACTGAAGATTGCGAGCGTTCCGGCGAAGCCGATCTGTCCGCCAATCTGATTGGCCCAAGGATTGTATTACAGCGCGCCTACCGGGAAGTTGTCTGATTTTCGAAATTTATAGCGTCAGTCACGGCGTAGTCGAGTTTAGGGACAGACGTATATTCGTCTTGTAAATTTTTTATCGTCTCGTATCATTTTGTTCTAGTCTTGTGCAGTTTGTATAGTATTGTATAGTCTACCGTACCATATCGCGACCACTTCAGGGTTCCAGAATCAAGTAGAGTATCTTGTGGATATGTGGAGTGACTAGAAAGACGGTGAGTAACGCTTTTTTTAATTGGCTATATTTACAACAGCGGGAAATAAATCGTGACGCAGTATCGTGCCTTATGCATTCTCGATCATTATTGGATCCGTCGATTGTTAATCGGTGGCGCGCTGGAGGGTCGATACTGTCTGATATCGTTTATAGGTCATATTTTTCGGTTTTACGTTACCGCCATACAGTCCACGACTCGCCCACTTTCATTATGTGATATCGATTTCTTCGCGAAGAGTCGTATTTCTTTGTAATTTCACTTGAAAATTATTTTTACAACATATACATATATGTATATTAGAATCCCCATTGGTATAGTTGAATAAATGTATGTTAATTGAAAATCTCGAATGATTCCATAAAAAGCACATTGAAGTTACAATAGGTAGGATCCCTTCAAAATTCCATATACCTGTAACATTATAAAAATATGTCATACCTATTGAAATGGTAATCGCTTTTTTTCAAGAAACGAGTGATAATATTTATCTAAGATATCCAGATAATATTAAAAAAAAATTTAATTCAAGTCAACGTTCATCGAAATTTTCTAACAGCACTGATATACGTATATTACACAAGGCACTGAAATTCTTCATTTTATATCTTAAATTTTCATTACGCCCTCTCTTCTCATTGTTACCTTTCTTTCACCTTATTCTCAGTCTTTCCCATTCGACACACGTGATATGTGTTCGGCCACAATAAATTCAAAAACTCCCGAGTACCAGCGACAAAGTTTACCATGGCCAAGGGATATGCGGGGAAACTAGTATTCCCTTTGAAATTCGCACCCATGGGAATCCACCATAGGGCTTTACCTTGATAGAAAGGGAAACACATCCCACTTTGTCAACTCCCGAGTAACCTTTGATCATTCGATTAGAAGTCCCATATACGATCGTAAAAGGATCTAATCCCTACAATCGACTTACGTAAAATACAAAAATCCGTTATCTAGAGATATCATCATATTTTTCATAGCCTGGACAAGAGTTTGTCAATAGAAACTTAACTTGATATTCATAAAACAAAAATAACCAGCAGTGTTCGAATCGCTACGGCGAAGAAGACAGAAATCCTCTCGGGGGAATGGATTTGCATAGTAACTTTCATAAGGCAACTACCCACTAGGATCAGCCAACCCTTAGGTACTGTAATCCTACGACCACTACGCTCGTGGCAATAAATCAAACAGCGACAACACACCTACGAATCTCTGTCATACATATTCACGCAGTTCTGCTTTGCGTTTTCGTACATATGCAAATTAGAGAAAATTGCCGCGGGCAAATCACTATATGGGATACTCATGGTGGCCACCCGTATGACCACTCAGGGCTACTGTAACCTTCGCTTGATATTAATTTCTTGGCATAATGCCGTAAGGGTAAAGATATTCATTTCTTATACGTATGCAAATGCTTGGCCAACATCAGATATTTACTGATTGTCACTCTTACCTGTTCAGTCGTATCGTATTCTTGGTCTCGCGTACCATCAGTGCACTTTGCCAAAAATGAACGGCCTCTGGCAATATTGTTTTCTGGTGGCAGAAAAAAAAAAGAGTTATAAAATTCATATTATGCAAGTGTCGCTTTATATGGAGCTTATAATAAGTCTTTGTCAGTTGTTCGAGGAAAAAATTGAATGAATGGGGTTTGGAGTGAAAATTTTTATGACCATTCATATGACGCCTTGCACAATTTCGAAACATGGAAAAATCTGACGTGTGAACAATATGAAAAGAAAAAAAGGAAATTGATATTCCACAGGATTGTAGTATTATAACGCTGTGATGCATGGTTAACATCCATTATCCGAATGGATTGTGTTCGGCCACGTACCAGAGTACAAAAATTTGTGCGTTACGAGAAAAAAAAACTGTATGAAATGAATTTCGTTGATCCGTTTATATGTATATATAACACATATATTTTGTTCCAAGGTAGTCAGGTGAGAACTGGACTAGCATTAAAGCCCGGGAAATATGAGTTCAACAAACAGAAACAAAGGCGGATGGCTTTTATGATGTCGAAACGAAAATATCGGTTCGATTTTTGTACACTGTAAATACAGTGCTCGCTATACGTATGAAAGTTTTATTAAAATTGGACAAAGTATACAATTTGGTGGATTCGATATGATTGAAGATAGGCAAAAATAAGTCCTTTATTTTTGTCGAGTATACTGGTGTTTCCGTTATCGCGAATCGAGAGACTCGTAGAAACAGAAAAATGTGTATCCATCTAGCACAGCTTAAAAAGACGTAATCAGCTAGGAGCACAAAATTTTTGTACGATTATTTACAGTCTCGTGCACTTTTTTACAAAGCCCCAGCGTAGAAAGAGCTCTTTCTTTATTTTTTCGTTATTTCAGTAAAAAGATCTTTGTTAGAGGGAAAGACGTGGTGACGTCATTCGATAATTAAACGGAGATTACGGTGCCTTGTGAATGTATAAAAAGAGAAACAAAAGTGTTTATCAGAGTCGGTTAGAATTGAGGAAAAGAAGAAGAAACGCCAAGGCTTCTCGTAGTGCTGTGAGAACAAATGATCGTTACGTGCTAGGGGCCGTAGCGGAGCAAAATTCTCATTAATATCTGGCTAATGGGGCCTGTTGATAATTAAAACAGGTACATAGTCGGGAGGCAACGAAAACGATGGTCCGGAAGGGCGAAGCGCAGAAGTGAGGGATGAGGCTGGATTAAGGAATAAATGAGGCCTGAATGCCGAGGGTTACCAACATTTCATTCGTCAGTCTTTTAATCGTTTTCACGAAATTACCAGAGCGAGAGACCAATAGAAAGAGAGAGAGAGAGAGAGAGAGAGAGAGAGAGAGAGAGAGAGAGAATTTTTAGGATAACTATAAGTCCTAAAATGGTTAATCAGGCAAAGTTATAGACAGGCAACAGGGACATTGACATTTCAAGATGGTGCTGATAACACTTTTAAATAGCGGATAAACTCACACACGGCTAATACCCTTTTTCAAGGCGTGCAAATGTGGTTTGAATACGTGGAAAATACGGCCGTCCAATTGAATGGGGATGCGTGATGGATAAGGGATTGGATTCGAGCAAGGAATGAAGGATCGACTAAAAGGGATGTTTAGTAGCGTTTTGTGCGCCGTTACGCACGATTTCCACGAATGAATAAATCGATGTGGTTTTCATCGTGTGAAAATACCGATATACATATATTTATACGATGTAGGGAAAAAGAAGTAATCGTTTTCAATGTGTAAACCGACGATACTTTCATTGAGTGGTTACCATGTTTTTTTTTTTTTTTTTTTTTTATATTCTAACCTCACTTCCAACATTGCTCGTCATTCCATGCTCACGTATGTACATATATAATTGATTCAGAAGTTAAATGTCAAAGTCTAGAGGACTCTTTAATGTTGAAAGTCACACGAGGTTGGCCCCTCTGGAATAATTTACGTATTCCTGATTTTTTTTTTTTTTTTTTTTTTAATATTCTAACCTCACTTCCAACATTGCTCGTCATTCCATGCTCACGTATGTACATATATAATTGATTCAGAAGTTAAATGTCAAAGTCTAGAGGACTCTTTAATGTTGAAAGTCACACGAGGTTGGCCCCTCTGGAATAATTTACGTATTCCTGAAAGAATTACATATAGTGATATAATGACGGTAATGATCACGTTGGAGTACCATACTATTTGCACAAAAAGATACGTATTTACGTTATACGTACGTTATGTAAGATTTTCTTTCGCAATTCTCATCGGACTGTGACTTGCGCGCACCCTGGACTCTACGTATATATATGTGTATATAACTAGAGAGAATATAGGTATACAATAAAAATGGTATCTATCAAATCGAACCTCATTGATAATTTCAAAGAATAATTCAAAAAGTAGCCTTCTTCGAAGGACGTGCTTTAAAATTCACAACCTCATTTCGTCTTATTGTTTGCGGATGGATGAAGTGAAGGGTAATATTTGACGTCGAGAAATTAAATTTTCTACCTTTCAAAAGTTCCTTCTTGAATTTAAAGGAAGGAATGGCAAATCTCGTTTGACATTAAAATACAAAAAAAAAAAGGCACTAGGGGTGGAAATTTAAAAACTTTTATTACGATTTTATTTTTCACAGCTTGTGCTCGGAGAAGAAATTGCACAAGGTGGTACCCTAATAGCATATTGCTACCGTTAAATTTTACGTATACCGAAGTCACCCCGATTCTCGTGTTTTTTAAAAGGGATGCAAAGATGGCATCATAAAATATAATAATGAGCTATAGTCATTAAAATTTCACTTTTGATCTGGCAGCTGTACCCTTTTTTTTTTGCATAATATAAATATGTTACGAAATTATATAATTTCACCCGTCTACAATTTAGGTGGATATTATAATAAGGGTGAAGGCTTGCAGGTTCATGCAGATGAATGGTCGATAAAAATGTTGAATAAATATTCAAAAATTGTTAAAGGCTAGAACTCTCATATTCATGAAAGAGCACCAGTTCTATAATTCAGAACCGGAAAGGAGCCCAGAACTTGTGTTTGTACGCGAGCAGATGTAAGGGGAGTCACCCGTTTTCTACATATTCGAAATAAGTAGATAAAAATAATTTTTTGTTGCGTTTGAGTAGAACTATTAACGTCTACTGTGTAAAATCATCTACCGATGATTATTGAAAAATATCTTCTGCTACGTGAGGTTAACAGATAATTTTTTCAATCTTGTTTTTTCTTTTTTTAAATAAAATCGCGCGTACCATCGCTAAAATGTATCAGGAACTACAAAACTCAGTTGCATGAGAAAAGTACCTCCCCCCCCCCCCCCCTTTTTTTT